CATCCATCCATCCATCATCCATATCCAGCCATCCGTCATCCATCCATTTATTATCTTTACCTGCTTCTTCCTTTTCGGGTCATGGGGGTCACTGTTGCCCATGTCCTTCTATCACTGTGCGAGAGGCAGGAGACACCCTGGACAGGTCTCCAGTCCATCACAGGGACACATTGAGACAAATGAGACAAACAACCATTCACTCTCTCACTCACCTAGGGACAATTTAGAGTTACCAGCCTAACATGCATGTTTTTGGTCTGTGGGAGGAAACTGGAGAACCCAGAGAAAACCCACACAGCACGAAGAGAACATGCAAACTCCACCCAGAAAGGTACCTGGCTGGGATTTGAACCAGTGACCTGTTCACTGAGATGTGGCCGCTCTACCAACTGTGCCACAGGAACATTTTATATATAATTAGTCCAGTTTTAATGCAATCAGATTTGACAACATGTGGATAAAGCAGATCTTATGTTCACATTGTATCTCACGTAGCTTGTTGTTCAGGATCAGTTTGTGACTTTTCAAAGATTGTTTAAATCTAACATGTCGTTTTCTGTGTGTGTGTTTAGACATCCTCAACGAGTTGTTACAGAGAGAGAACCGGGTTCTGCACTTCTGGACTATGAGGAAACGCCGGCTGGATCAGTGTCAGCAGTACGTTGTGTTTGAACGCAGCGCCAAACAGGTACGTGGAGCGCGTGCATGAACACGCTGCAACGAGGAAGGTGATGTTTTCTTATAAGAGCAGGACAAATAGGTCCAGTACAAATAATTCATGAGAACATGTGGTTGTGTTCAGGCTTTGGAGTGGATTCACGACACCGGAGAGTTTTATTTGTCCACACACACGTCCATTGGCTCCAGCATCCACCACACACAGGAGCTCCTGAAGGAGCATGAGGACTTCCATATCACAGCTAAGGTTGGCCTCAAAGAAACACACGATTACAGCCGGCGTGCATGTGTGTGCGCACCAACTCACTCTGCTCCTTTTCTAAAGCAAACCAAGGAGCGCGTAAAGTTGCTCATCCAGCTGGCTGACGGCTTCTGTGAGAAAGGCCACAGCCACGCCGCTGACATCAAAAAATGGGTGACCGCTGTCGACAAGCGCTACCGAGACTTCTCCTTACGGATGGACAAGTACCGCTGCAGCCTGGAGAAAGCCCTGGGCATCCCCTCGGACTCTAATAAGGCAGTAAGCGTGGTCATGTGAAAACATATCACAACCCCACTGTCTTGGTGTGTCTCTGTAAACCAGGACGTGTCTCTTTTCTCTGTCAGAGTAAAGACCTTCAGCTGGACATCATCCCGGCCACAGCTCCCGGGTTAGAGGTCAAGCTGAGAGAAGCTGCAGCGCACGAGATGAACGAGGAAAAGCGCAAGTCTGCACGCAGAAAAGAGTACGTGACCACCTTCTGTCTGTCACTGTTTCTGCTGTCAGAAAGACACTTGTTAAAACGGTACATTCATGGGACAATGGGTTGAGGTAACCAAAACATTGAATCTCTTTCATTCAACATTAAACAAAACAGCCTTTTCAGTGTTTCTCTGAGGTCACTAGCCTTGGCAGGGTGCTCAGTTCTTCGTGGAATTTTGTCAACAGGGAGTTCAGGTTAGGGTTGGGATGGAGACATGTTTGTGATGTGCGCTAGTTTAGCTCTGTTAGTGCCCGCAGTTGTTGATTGGGGGAGAATGCATTAGGTATGTGGAGTGCTACATCTGTAGCATCTTAGCTAGCACATCTGTGTTGTGCGCCGCTACATCAGTGCCGATGATTGTCGACGGGGTGGGGGGGAGTACTGGGTGTGGGTGAAGGACATTTTGTTAGGCAGGATCCATGGTTCTGTTGACAGGAGGCACCCTCCTTTGATAACTGTAGGGGAAACACTGTTCCTGATTAAAAAAAAGTCAGAATAAAAATTCTGCATCCATATTTATGTTACCTGACCAGTTTTATATTTGGTTGAGCAGCTCGAACACAAGTTCTTCTGCAAGGTGTGCTTGTACGTTTGATTTTCTGTCCTCCTGCCAGGGGCGTTATGGTGTTTTAACTGGTATTTGTCCTTTAATGTCAGCCCATCAGTCACAAGAGAGAAAACAGAGGCTTGTTCTTGGACTGGTATAATTTGTTGGCTAAAGTAGTGACAAGAGGAAACTTTCTAACGGGACTCCATCTCTGTCAGTGTCTTGAAAACTGGTATTCCAGATTACTGAGTATGGCCACACCTCTGCTGCTATAAAAACATGACATTTGTTTTTTGTCCAGTCTGAATGATCAGGGAGGGGCTGCCTGAACGTCGTGGGATCCTGGCTTTGTCCTTGTTCCAGTAAACCTCAAACACGTCACTCGTTGGTTAATTCATCGTCTCTGAACATTCACTAACTTCCACTGAAACGTCTCGCTCATTTCTGTAACACAAACATGGACCTGGTTGGAGTTTGCTAAATGAGAGTGGCTGGAGGGGAGTTTCAGGATGGGAGGGGAAAATGGCGGTGATGCGATATCACGTGAGGGAAAACTTAATAAATCAGATCTATTCAATATATCCCCCAGGCTTAGTTCATTGTAGAGCTACAAACCTTTTTTTACCCTAACTACTGTACTGCACTGTCATGTTCTTGTGTAGCTTATTTTGTTCCTTTCCCAACATTTACAAAGGGCAAGCATGTTAAACTTGAGTTCTGCAGCTTTGGTTGCATTTACCATCACCTACTGGGCTCAAGTTTAAAACGACACAAAAAAAGCACACAAAGAGCCTCCATTTGTGCTAGTTTGAAACATTTAAAAGCCTAATTCAAAAGTTGTTCGTATGAATACAATACCACTATTTTATAAGCCCCGAGTTTCAGAATAATTCCGTCATTTAGCAAATTAAAAAAGTGCAAGTTGAGATTGACAGGCGGATTGGTGCAACATCTGCAGTATTGCAGACTCTGTGTTGGTCTGTTGTGGTGAAGAGGGAGCTGAGCTGTAAGGCAGAGCTCTCTGTTCACCGGTCGGTCTACGTTCCTGCCCTCACCTCTGGTCATGAGCTCTGGGTAGTGACTGAAAGAATGAGATCGTGGATACAGACGGTTGAAATGAGTTTCCTCTGCAGGATGGATGGATGTATAAATGGTTGGATGTTTGATGGATGGATGGATGAATGATGATGGATGGATGCTGGATTTATGGAGGATGGTTGGATGATGATAGATGTATGGATAATGTTTGGATGTATGGATGATGTTTGATGGATGGATGTT